GGACATTTTATTAAAATAAAACAAGCCTTCCAGACCTACATCAGCCTCTGGTGAATTCTTTTCATCCCTTCCCACCCATCTCCTTAAATTGTAGTCTGTATGCAATATTCACTCCCAATCTACAGCAGTTTAACTGCTGCCCTGACCATGCCTCTGACTCTCCTCTTGGTGAAGTCAAAGACACCTTCATAGCTAACTCCATTCTTCCATTCTCATCTTCCTTAACCTCTTCAGCACTTGCCACAAGCTTGGTCCTGCTTGGTCCTGCTGTACCTCTTGCATCCCTACCTACTCAATGTCTCACCATGGCTGCAGAAAGTAAAACAGTAAAGACCATTACAATCTCTGCAGAAGGAGATGATACACTATCTTGCTTAATAATGTCAAAATTTAACTGTTTTTCAAACTATGGGTTGTGACCAATTTGGGGCCCGTGAAATCAAATCAGTAAATTGCAGAGTTCACCATCAAGATATATGGAATCAAACAGAGGCATCGGAGTGTGTGGCATGTGGTAAAGCTAGGTGTTTTGTACCCAGTATGTGTATAAATGTGTGTTCACTGGATGGCGATGGCAAATATATTTCTTTTTATGGGTATAGGGCAGAAAAATTTAAAAGGCACTAATTTGGATCTTCACAAAGTTAACTCCTATATTTCAAAATATAATATCTAAATTGTAATTTTTGGGGAAAAATACTTCAATGGGCCTTTTGATTGTGAACAAATAAAGAATAGTGTTTACCTAAAACAGGGATTCTGGTGTCACTCCCAGAGCAATCGGTGAAAAAATTTTAAATGTTCTTCTGTTCCAAAAAAAATGACATGCAAGGCTCTTCACGACCTGGTCCCTGCTCTCCTCTCCAGCTCCATTTCCCCCACTTCCTACGTAAGTGTGCGTTGTAGCCACACGGAGTCCTTTGTGTCCTCCAGTCACGACACTCTCTTCTGTCCCTGGGCCCTGGACTGTGCCATCCAGTTACAGGGACACTCAAACTCCCCCTTCCCTCCCCTTCCCAAAGCATCATTCGGCACCTCTGTCATCAGGTGGTGCCTGCTCAGAGATGACTCTTTCTAGGGAACCTTCTCCGAGTCAGACTCCAGGCCTAGCTGGTACTGGAATCCTCAGGATCGGCACCTCTGCCAGGGGTCTGGATGAGCAATTCGTGAGGCTGACTACAACAGCGTTTCTCACCTTCTTCATTATTGTGCCATCTCCTCACCCCCCAGGAGTCTTTTTACACATTTTTCACTTAATTTCTCCTCCCTCTCCCCCATGAAATTTTACTACCGCGGATATGCTGTATGTCTGTTTATTTACTGTGGTCCTTTAGAGAGCCACAAACTATTATCTAATAGTTAAGATCTTATATAATCTTAGATTATATAAGTTGCTATTTTTTTATTTTTATTTTTACTTCCTAAGAACGAATCTGCCCCCCCACCCCCGCCCTGCCCCTTGAGAGTGATAGCTGCTCCATTTAGAGTGCATGGAATAGAGTAAGAGAAAGCTCTACTTGTCCTCTTGAGCAGGCCAAGAAAAAATAGTTCACATTCTTTCCTAATGAGAGGCTTTTGTAAAATGCTGAAGAGGTTAAGGAAGATAAGGTTAAAGTATAGCTTTAGTAACAGGGCTGACTTTGACCTAACCAAGGTCAGAGTTGGCAGTAGGGCAGAAGTTATTTTGCAGCAGTATGGAGAGCGATCACCGAATACAGGTTATAAGTTCAAGGAATTAGGCTGGGAGAGGATGGGAATAATCATCTAGAGGGTGACATAAGGTCTAGGAGGTTTTGTTTTGTTTTTAAAGATGGGGCACACTTGATTTTAGGCTGATAGAAAGGAGCTCGTGGATAGTGAGAGAGTGGAGAACATCAAGAAAGAGAGAACAGGCTGAACAAAGCCCAGAAGAGGAGGGAGAGGATGAAGGGAATCATGAGCTGAGATGAAGGGAGCGGAGGAAGCTCCTCTCCCTCTGAGATGGCTGGGAGTGAATGTGAAAGGGCCGCAAGGAGAGTCGCTTCATCTGGAGAGTGAGACCGTGGACACACGGGAAGACCCGAGAGAGGAAGAAGTTCGCAATCTTCGCCTAGGAGAAATGACAGAAGCTGACTGAGGTACACGGAGGATGACCAAGGGGCATTGAGGGCCAGCGGAAATAAAAATTCCAAAATTTGTAGCAGTTTGATTTTTTTTTTTTTCTTTGACAAAAACCAAGCAGATGTATCATTTTCCAAGTGCTGCCTTAGGTGCTGGGGTTACAGCAGTGAACCCTAAATTCTAGCCTCAGAGAGCCATTGCCTATCTTCCCCCACTGGAATATAAATCCATAAGTAAGATAGTCTTAGATGTCAATAATGATGATGAAGATGACATAGGGTACTGTGAAGGAGTGATGGGAGGAGGACTTTTGCTGGGTGGTCAGGAAAGACCTGCCTGAAGAGATGACATTTGACTTGAAGCTTGAATGGCAGAAAGAGGCGATCTTGAGACATTCTGAGAACAGAGTTCTCAAAACAAAAGGACTCCAAGTGCAAAGGGCCTGAGGAAGAAACACACTTGGAATATCTAAGGAAGGACAGGAGGCCACTGTGGTTGGATCATAGAGTCAAGGGAGAGAGGTAGGGAGGAGGTCAGCAGGCCGGATAATAGGTTTTTGAAGGACATGATAAGGATTTTGGATTTTATTTTGGTTACGACAAGAGGCTTCTGGCTGGGATTTTAAAGCCAGGGAATGATATAATTTCTACCACGTTCTAGAATAGCTGCTCTGGTTACAACGTGGAGGATGGACGGTAAGGCAGGGTAGAGACAGGAAGTCCAGTTAGGAAGCCAGATAGATTTTCCAAAAGGACAAAGTGTCAAGGTGGTTGATGAGAAGGAAGAGGGCAGTTCAGGTGTAGGATTAGTGTCAAAGGGCAGTTTTGGGAAAACGGCAGAAGTAGAAGTTTCAGATGTTGTATCAGAAATGTGGATGCTCGTTTTTAATCTCAGTAACTCACATAATCACACGTGGAAATGTCACTCACGTCTCGTCCTCTTTGCCTAGTTTAAAGATCCTTGGACTCATGAATTTACAGGAGTCACCGGATACATTTTTCTCTGCCCTAACAGTGTCTTTCCAGTCTTTTTAATCTTTTTTTTTTTTTAAAGAGAGAGAGGTTTTAGTTTTTAGTTTTAGTTATTTAAGTAGACTTTATTTTTTAGAGCAGGGGTGGGGAAGAGGTAGAAATGAATACGTGGAGCACAGAAGAGTTTCATGACACTGAAACCGCTCTGTGTGGTACTGCAATGATGGATACATGTCATTGCATATTGTCCAAACCCATAGAATCGACACCAAGAGTGAACCTAATGTGAGCTAGATGTGCCTATGAAGGTTCATCAGTTGCAACAAATGTACCACTCCGGGAGGGGATGTTGATGACAGGGAGGGTGTGCAGGTGTGGGGACAGGAGCTATATAAGAAATCTGTACCTTTCTCTCAATTATGCTGTTATTTTTTTCTACCATTTTAAAGTCAAATCCTTACTATTCCATTTATTTCCTGTTACCGGCAGTGAGTTCTGTTTTTGACTTACCACTCAGAGCAGAACCAATTAAAACACCTCTCAATATTTATGTGCCAGACAACATTAACGTAGGTTAAAGTGTATATTTTTCCATGAAGCTCACCAATCTGTAAAATGCAGGCCACAAAAGCTGAGCGTGAACAGCATTGTTAGGGCATGCTCTTAAGTAATACCAAAATGTCTAACAAAAAGTTGAGAAACAAAGTAGAGTAACAAAGTAGAGTAACAAAAAGGAGTTAAAGGAGATTGTTCCCTTCCATTTTCTGATTTAAAACATTTTTTTTTTGGCATTTTTCTTTCATTCTAAGAAAATGGATATAATACTAAAAGAATGGTATTCCCAAGTCTCCCCAGTCTAGAAAACACTAACCTCCACGAAGAGGCTTTCTATATTTAAAATCTTCTTGTGTGTATTTGCATTACACATACGCTGTAGAAATAAAAAGCACAAAAGTATTTATAGTGAAGACCAGGAGTCCCTCCAGCCCTGCCCCTCCACCCATCACCCTGTTACCCTCTCAGGGGGCAAGCACTGTTCTCAGCAAAACGTCTTTCGGGGAGATTCCATTTATACGAGCAAATACCTACTTATAAAAAGTATAAATAGTAGCACATTATATGCTGTTCTGGACGTTTCTTTTCATTTAACACATCTTGGAGATCCTTCTATAGCCGTGGATGAAGAGTTGCCTCTTTCTTTTTCAATGGAACTTTAATATAAGGGGTGTTACAGTTGAGAAATTAGTTATAACTTATCTTTGCCAGTTCAATAACAGAGGTGCAACTAGATCAATCCTTAGTTTTCTGAGCTTTCATACCAAACAGTTCAAAGCTTTAACTGTTTTCTCTCTCCTGTGGCTCTATTTTCATTACTAAGATTCTCCCTTCTATGACCCTCTACCCCGTTCCGAGGTCTGACACTTCCCTAACTTAGTCATCTGATCTCATTTTTAATGCGTCAAATGTAATAAACCCAGATGATGTGGCTCAGATGTTTCTTACGGACAAAAGATTAAAAGATGAAATAAAAGAAAATATAGAGGACAGAGGGCTATAGGTTTGTTCAATGTTTGAGATTTGAATATATGTGTATCTTAACTCCTCCTCAATTTGAGTTAGATTCAAGAGATGAGGGTAAATGCAATCATAGCTTCTATTATGAGTACACATGTATGTCTGAACCGTTCTAAGTCATAGTCCCTTACATCACTGTAGTTTCCAAGGACAGTGCAATCAGATATTTTTAAAACACTATTTCTGTATTTTTCTCTCTTTTTCTCTCGAGGTAAGTAAGGCAGACACATTTGCCAAAGATAACCGAGAATGTGAGGGCGATCCTTGACTCCGCAGCTTGAGCAGGCTGAGTGCTAAATGCAACTCCGAAACATGCCCTATAAATAGCCGTTCATTGTCAGTGTGTGTGAAAAGACAAGAGTGTGTGCTGGTATGATTCAGGCCTAATTAAGTGGTTGCATCTGCTCAGGGTTATAAGCGAATAGCTGCTCCAGCTGATAATCTTGTCAGAAGGCAAAGGCAAGGGTTCGCCACCAACAGAACGCAGATTGAAGTGAAGCTTTTTATTGCTGTTTCTGCCTCCACTATGGCAAAAATCATTCTGAGGCACCTCATAGAGACTCCAGTACGTTACCAGGAGGAGTTTGAAGCTCGAGGTTTGGAAGACTGCAGGCTGGATCATGCTTTATATGCACTGCCTGGGCCAACCACCGTGGACTTGGGAAAAGCCAGGGTGGCCCAGGCTCCTCCAGTAGACTCAGCGGCAGAGACGCCACCCCAAGAAGGCAAATCACGCTTCCAGATCTTGGTGGACGTGGTCCAGTTCCTCCCCGAAGATATCATCATTCAGACCTTTGAAGGCTGGCTGCTGATTAAGGCTCAACATGGAACCAGAATGGATGAGCATGGTTTTATCTCAAGAAGCTTCACCCGACAGTATAAATTGCCAGATGGCATTGAAACCAAAGATTTGTCCGCGATCCTCTGTCATGATGGAATTCTGGTGGTGGAAGTAAAGGATCCAGTTGGGACTAAGTGAATCTTATTTGTTCCTGTTTATGCGACATGAGGAATATTACAGTTCAGTCAATAAATGGTACCACAGGAATGTTTGTTTTATGCACGTTTGAACTGATTTTTACGAAGATTAAAAATATAAACATAATTCCTGGTATGTCAAGATTGTCTTTGTTACACTTACTCAGAAAGGATTATTGTTAAATATGTTCCTACAGTTGAGAGTGATGCTCTTCTTACACCTGAAACTTGACAGTTTTTTGAGACTAGTTTGGTACTAGAAAGAACTGCTAATTATTTCTTCATTAATCAAACAATGCCAGAGAAGTTGCATTTGTAAGAAATGGTGGCAAAAGAGCCATACTAATTTAAGAAATGTTTATCCATTTTATGAAAACTTTTTATAATGCTAGAAAGAATTGTGATCTCTTTCACCTGATAAGCTTTTCTTTTCAGTGTATTTTATTACAGTGGAGATTTGTAAATACACAGTCTGAAAGTTAAAATATAGCACTTGGAAATTTGGTCTGAAATATATCTATGATTCACTGCAGTTTTTGCTGCCTTAAACTTATATCGGAATTTTCAGACATATATCTTATTTTTAAAATGTTCCAAATATGTACCTCATTCTTTTTTAAGCTAAACTGAATTTTATCTGCAGTGTTTTTTTTAAAAACAGCATATGTTCTGTGAATATTTATGAAATATAAATAAGATATGTGTTAATTCATATGTTTATAAGTTCATATTAAGTTTAGGAAAACACTTTAAAGAGTACCGAAATCAAAGAATTTTAATATATGCTCTTTAGATGCTATTTAAAATTTTAGATGTCAGAATATGGCAAAATGTAATGCATCTGCTCTCTCTGCATAATCCTTAGCTTTAAATAGCCTGGCAGGCCACGAAGCTCCAGGCTGAGCTTCCACAGGCACTGAGTGTGCACAGTGCGTAGGCTCAGCACTGCTTCCTTTTTCCCCAAATGCTGCTTCAGCCCGAGGGAGAGGCTGAGACGTTGGAGGAAGCTAAGAGTTTGCTTTAGAAATGTTGCTCTCAACAGCTGGTCTGTGACATTCCAAAGATCTGCTATCTCATTCTGTACATAGCGAATATTTCTTTGGAGGAAGTAGCTGCTTTTACCCTGCACCCCGTGTGAGCCTGAGGACAGCGCTATGAATAGAAGAGGAAGGTGGGGTGTGGAAACAGCCAGGACGGCCTGGAGACCGCTGACCGTACCACCCTGCTCCTCCACGGTGCTTTATGGTTCAAGTACAAAAATGAGAGGCAAGAAGCAATAGGAACATAAATCAAACAGTTCCAAGAGTCATTTCGAAAACAAATGTAGTCTGAGAGAGATGTTTGTTTACAGTCTAATTAAACTGAAAGGATTGTGAAGCTACATGTTTTATATGAGGTTATTGCCTATGCACTAAGGTTTGTGCATCCAACTCTAGGATATGTTTGACAGAGTGAATATCACAGACCAGCTTTGCTCCATAACAAAATTAATCGTGCTTAAAGAAATTATACCAACTAATATTAGAACTGAAATATCTACATTATACTTTCCTGCTGGTTAGCAGAATAGTGTGAAAATAAACTCAAGCTTAGAAACAAACAAACCCTCTCGTTTGGCCTTGATCTTACTGTAGGTGAGATCTTACTTCTGAGAAAGTTAAGGAAGTGATATTCTTATCATGAGGAGCCACCGATAGGAAATATGTCCTTTAAAAATTAAAACAAACGCATCATCCGATTAGCATTTATTTTTCCTAAGATAAAGTTTAAAGTAATACATAGCTATTTTTTGATTTGGAAACTATACCAAACATTATAGAAATAAAAAACATTCATTATTCTACTACTACCATGAGGGAGCTACTTTAAATTTCTAGTTCAGTCTTCCCTTATACATAAATATTGATATCACTTTACACAAAATTAGGATTATATTTGCATGGAGTTTGATATCCTGATCATACTGGTTGTTATCCGTTGTCCTTCCCACTTGCTGCCAACCCAGATCCATCCTCTGTCTGTCTCAGCCTCACCCCGCCCCCAAGCAGGCTGACTCCTATGGCCACGTCATTCAGTTACCAATTGGATTCAGAAAATGGACGCACTGACTGCAGACCAGAGACTGGAAGAGAAGATTGGTGGGTGTGGAGGAGAAGGGTCAGGTGTTTCTTTCCCCACTGCCAAGCTGCTGCAGACAAGGCTCCGGCAGGGCCTGCCTCCCTCCATGACTCCCGCTCATACTGGCTCGGGCCTTGTGACTGTTTCTTCCTCTTGCCCCTTCAGTGGTTGGGCTAGTAAAATTTTCTGCCCTTTCTTGTTCCTGGGGCTTCACCATCCCCTGTTGATTACTTTGCCTGCTCTCCCATAAATAATCCCATTATTAAAGTCCCGTTCAAGTGATGGGATTCTGTTTCCTGACAGAACCCTGATTGCTTGACTTCTTAAGTGATGAAAAAAAAATAGCACATCATTTTCTTTTTGCTACCAAATGCTAACTGATGTGTGATGGCTATGCACTATTCCAACACAGATAAACTGTATTATAATTTAACCCTTCTTTTTCACTACTGTTCCCCAAATGAAACAGATGGTACTCTCAAATTGGAATAATTCAAGTTGGAATAATTTATTTATAAAGAGAGTAATTACAAAAGAGAGGGCAGGGTAGAGAGGAGCTGTAAGGAATAGCATGTAACCTGAGTGTAGCAGTGTGAAGTTATTGTGTCTCCTGGGTCCAAAGGGATGGGAGGAGGAAGTAAGTCTCAGAAATCAAAGAGAAATTCAGATATAGAAAACTACTAGCTGTGACTTTTATTTGAGGAACACGATCAGCCCAAGGTGACCTCGCAGGGGCCAGGAGAATAAATACTTTCTCCCTCTAACTTCCTAGCAGAGTATCACATTGGCTGGACCTGACTGGTAGCCAGAAGGTGTGGGTGCCCTATTAATGTAGTTTAACAGGCTCTCAAGGAAGTGGACAGAGTGGGGAAAAGTGGTGAGTGACTCCTGGAGGCAAGGAGAAAATACCCAGCACTCTAGTAAAATGAGAACTGCTGTTATTGCTCTCATAGAAGACCTTTTCTACAAAATATAGCCTGAGATAAAGCTGGGAACTGCATGCAAGTCCAGGATGGTAAAGATGAGGAAATAGGGAAAATGACGCAAGAAAAAATGGGAAACAAAGCGATGTGACGTGTTGCCACGCTGGCCACTGCTTCACAATGAGCTGTGAAGAGACTCAGCAGCCTCTTGACAGGGATGTTGGCTCAGCACCTGGAACTTCTCCAGATCTTCAGGAAGACATCAAATCTTAGAGCAATCTACAGGGAAGAAAGGAGAGGAAATTTGTCTGCCCTGTTCCCTACAATGTCCCGTTTATGCTGCTTAATGTGCAATCTGAAAAAATATCTTTTTTTTTAAGGTTTGGAAATTTCATGGCTATTATTTCTTCACATGTTTTCCATACCCCCTATTCTCATTAACATTCCTATTAGGTATAGATTGAAGTCTCTCAAAAACTCTTGTCTTCTCGTGCTGTATTTCTGGGTGAATTCTTCAGTACTTTAGTTCTCTTTTTCCTTTTGAAATATACCATACGTACATAAAAGTATAATTATTACTGTATTCAGGTTTTACATAAAAAGACCATCCATGTAGTAAACCACTTAGGACAAGAAATAGGTCATTGACAGTATCCACAAGCTGTTCCCCTCATCTCTCCTTTTCCAGAGGTGACCACTATCCTGTATTATGCATAATTAGTTTTTCTTTTCTTAAAAATGTGTTCGCATCTCTAATCAATATAGTTTAGTTTTGCTTGTGTTTAAACTTGATCTAAATGGAATCATAGCGTATGTATTTTTTTCTGACTTACTACTTTTACTTAAGATTGAGTGCCACCCACAAAGAATAGTATTCTGCTCATTTTCATTGATGTATAGATTTCATTGTATAAATATACCAATTTATTTGTCTATTTGATTGATAATAGATATCTCGGATTAGTTTGGGGCAATATGAACAATATGGTTCTGAATATTCTTATATGTGTCTATTGGTGTCCATGTGCAGGAGTCTTTAGAGAGTATACCTAAGAATAAAATTGCTGGGTTATTGGATGTGGACACCTTCCGCTAATTGATCATGCCTAAGTGTTTTCTAGAGTTATTTACCAACTTAGCAGCAGATGGAGTTTCTAAAGTATCCTAAATCCTCACCAACACGTGGCATGGTCAGACTTAAAATTTTGCTAATCTGGTGATGTGTCCTAAAAAGCACAGAGAGACACCAAATCTCAGTTTTATCATGTTACTTAGGTTTATCCCATGTATTGTGTATTTTTTCCCAGTAGCTATGGTTTTCACTGAGTTTTTTTTATAAGCTATTCTTATCTCTTTCATTCGTTCTATAATTTTTTTCTTCTATAGTAGACAGCATCCCTTTATATAATTCTTTGAGCATCCTAAACATACGTATTTTCAGTCTTTATCAGATTGTCCTATATGTTAATTTCATCTGGGGAGAGTTCAAGTTCCAAGTATAAACTTTGTTGATTTTCTTAGCATTAAGTTACTTCAAGTGTTTAGGAATTTTGGTTCTCAGACTTGTTTTGTGTGAGAGGATAGTTAATGTTGGCTCCCCTCCACCCCATGCTTAGCCTTTCCCGTCTAGAGGTTTTGCTATTGCCTTTGCCTTAATTCTTAATTTAGGGGTTTTGAAAATCTATGCCTCAGAGTAACCTCATGAATATTGCAGGTTCAGTCATCAAAAGAGCATGAGATTTGGTGCCTTTTTCTTTCTTCTTGGAAAGCCTGGAAGAGGTTTTAGCCTCCTTTTAGGGCAGGAGAGTCTTCACTCACCAGAGCTCCCACGCAGTAAGCCTGGTTCCTGTCCTTCAAATCACTTGGCTTCCACTATTCTTGCTTTTGAGACTGGCTATGTCTTTTTGGTTTGCTCTTTCTATTGTATTTATCGTTGTCAAGTGTTAGAACAGCATAGCATCCTACTGGATTCTAACTTTTTTCATGGAAAATAATATATCAAGT